CAGACAGTTTTATGAGACTTTCACAGACTCGTCAGAAGGTTTAACCGCCAGCAGTGTCGTATCCCTATTCACCGTTCACAGGGTTCGTGAACGAAGGCCGGTCACCGGTCACGATTTTTGTGACCGACTGTAGTTCATGGAGTTCACATTGAGCAGGAAGTTTTTTTTTTTTCCCCTTTGGCTGGGGGAGGGTTGTTTTTTTTGTGCAAGTGTGTTGGGGGTGTCCATGGGCACCTGCCTATTTTTATTTTTATTTTTCCTGAAAGGATTTTGTTTTTTGAATTATGAAAAAAAACATTCCAAAAATAGATTTTCGCTTGTGTTAGGAGTGCCATTTGTTGTCTTTAGGGCAGTTTTTGGGTCTGTGGGCCATGTCCAGGGTTTTGTTTCGACTTAAAAAAAAAAAAAAAAACGGRGGCCCCCCGCCATGCCGTTATGGAAGCAGAATCCCCCCGTAAAAAAAAACGGTCTTGTTCTCGCCGTTGGCCGTTGCCAGCCGATTGGGTTGCTGGTGAAATAAAGCACCATGCGCCCTGTTACCCTGTATCATTCTCGCAAATCGGAGAGAGAGAAAGAGAGAGAGAGAGACATGGACGGGGTAGCTGCTATCTGGGGTGTTACTGACAACCCTATATATTTAGTTTTTTCTACTCTACCTGCCAGGGCCCTGCGCCAACCCCCCCCCCCTCCTCCACCCCCTAAATAATTTATTTTTTTTCACACACAACTGCATGGGTCCTGGGGACCATCTCACGCAGATGTGTACATGTCATGCATCATCTTCACACGCAGTGATCAACAGTCTCAACCATAGACAAAGGTAGAGAAGAAGAGGATCGAATCTCACAGCTTATATTATCAGAAATATGATTACAAAGTGTTTCAAAGTTCCCCTGAGTCCAGCGCTCATCAGCTCAACACAAATCTCTGCTCAACTCATCAATATGCCTTCCAAGGCATCAGCGSTACCCGTGCAGATTGTCTCCCAGTCATCAATATGGTCACAACTCATCAGCGCCAACTCTGCAGTTCACAACCAACTCAGGTAAGTGTCTCCCATAGCCAAACCTTGAATGAACACTCTTCGTCTCAATCTCTTCCTCCTACGRTGCATGCACACACTGTTCTCACAAGGATCTACTCTGGATACTACTCATAGCTAAGTACTAACCCTTCTACTCTACTTACTAACTCGCTGGGCAGCTATGCCTGCATCCCTTCCAGCGCATAGTCTTCTTCTTCCCTCTTAGCGCATCTTCTTTCCTCCAGCGCTACTCCTACTGACTAACGCACAAGTGCACCAGCACTTCCACGCATTCAAGCCAGTGGAAATCGGGCGAGGAATGAGGCAGGCAACTCCCTTTATAGTGCAGGCCACTCCTCGCTGGGTCTGCATTGACTCAATTCGGCCTTTCCTTTGTCCCAGACCCTGCATTGCATGTGTCCCAGTAGAGTCCCAATGAAGTTCAACTGCTGCTGTGGCCTCTTGGCCTGTATTTGGACTTGAAAGTCTGGATCAGGACTGACCCCTTGACTTAAACCAGAACTGGGACTGTGCCTATTAACTTTACTTTTGGACAGGCACAACGCTCAACGAACAGACACATTTACTGCTTGAACAAACACTTTACTTTGCATGAACAGGTACACTGCCTGCACGTACAGACACACTCTTACCCGAATAGACATGACATACACATCTCCTGGTGAGCAGGTAAGTCCTTTGACAATGCCCTTTGCCTTAGATTTAGATGTGCCTGCTGATAGAGAACTTGACCTTTGACCTGCTTTCATGTTTCTGAGCCCTGGCAAGATACCTTTCACAATGCTTTACTTTTACAAGATCTGTGCTGTGTTACTTTGACAAGGCCTGAGACCTATTTCAGATAAAGGCCCTTTTACTCTCGCCGGCCTAAATTCGAAGTCCTCTGAGAATCATTTACCTATCAAGGATATGAATCCCTCTTTTGACGCTTTCGTACGCAGATATTATATGAGGTGCAAATTCTAATAGTTCTTCTCTTGTAAACCATCGATCCTCACTAGGATCCTGAAATGCAAACCTCACCTTATATTGTCATTGTGGTCTGCCTCTACGTCCAGTGTGGTAAGTACTTTCTGCAACAATTTTATCCACGTCATACTTCCCATCCATACTCGGAGGTATCGCTGATCGGCGACTTGGGAAGAACTCATTCGTTACACAAGGTAAGAGATTGGATGCATGGAACACTGGATACATACGTAGATGTGGAGGAATCTCAATGACATAAGAAGGACCATCCACATCTCCAGTTATGTCTAGAATCTGCCAAGGTCCTCTGTGGCCGGGTAGAAGCTTCTGAGAGATGTTCTCTTCAAGAGCAAACTCTTTAGACTTTACCCAAACCAAATCTCCTACAACAAATTGAGATGGGCGTTTGTGTTTATTTGCCTGTTCAATCATTTGATGCCGTGCTTTAAGTATATTTTCTTTTACCTTCTCAATGTCTTTCTGATATTGGACTGCAAATTCACTAGTCCCTATAGGAAGCTTATGTACTTGATCCGGGTTCAACCGATCAATGGGTCTGCGTGGACGCCATCCCAGATGTAACTCTATAGGAGTCTTACATGTAGATAGATGTACAGAGTTATTATAGGCACTGACAACTTTAGGCAGATATTCATCCCAGTCAATCTGATCGGGACGGATGTACATGCGTAAAGTTTGCTGCAAAGTCTGTTCATTTGCTCAGTCTGGCCATTAGTCTCTGGATGTCTGCCTGATGACGTAGTCAACTTAGAGCCATAAACATTCATCAGTTGCTGTCATTGTTCACTCGTGAACCTAGTATCTCTGTCACTCACAATAGTTAAGGGATGCCCAAAGTCTTTTACCCAATGGTTAAAGAATTCCCGAAGTACCAATTCAGTCTTTGCTTCCGCAGATAAAACAACAAAAACAACATACTTAGTGAATCTTTCCACTATGACCATTACTTGCGTTTTTCCATTCCTGCTTTTGACCTTAGTATCCATGAAATCTATAGAGACAGAGTCTCCAGGACCGGTAGGGATAGGCAAGGGCTTAAGTAGTCCAAGGGGCGATTGTGTGGTGCTTTTGTTTCGTTGGCATACTTGGCAACCCTACACATACGCGATACAGTCCGCTTTCATTCGAGGCCAGGTGCAGGAACGTAACAAGGTCCCATAGGCCTTCTTCCACCCAAAATGACCTTCTGCATCATGACATTCCCCCAAGATCATACTTTTGATCTCTTCATTATTGGGTATACACAGCCTATTATGCACATCAGTTCCTTCAAACAACAGACCCTTAGTCACTTTATGATCGGGAAACTCTGCTAGACTTTCTTGCACTAGCTTAATCATGGCTCCATAAACAGGATCAGATATTATACGCATTTCTAATATTTTCTTGTAGGTCTGCAACTACATCTAGATAAGTCACGATAGCACCGAAAAAGTCTGATCTACGACTTAGTGCATCAGCAACAACGTTATACTTACCCTTTACTGGCTTTAGCTCAAAGTCAAACATATCAATTTCTGCAGCCCACCTTGTTAACTTAGGTGTCATTCGAGCCTGCGTTTTGAGCCAGCGAAGTGTTTCATGGTCAGAGTATACTTTAAAATGCCTTCCTAGAAGGTAGTGTTGCCAATGATTGAGAGCCTCACGCAAAGTATACAACTCTCGTTCATACGTTGAAGCGGCCACCTTCTCGTTAGGTAAGCGACAAGACTTAAACTCTACAGGTCTGTACCCATGCCCATCATCTTACTGGAGTACAACACCTATACTATATTGACTAGCGTCGGTCGTGACCACAAAAGGTAATGAAGGGTCTGCTACTTTCAAAACCGGATAATTGATCAAACACTTCTTCAGACGCTTGAAAGACATAGTGCAGTCTGAATCCCACTTCCAAAATACTTCTTTCTTAAGCAATCGGTGAAGGGGAACAACTGTTATCGTAAAGTGTCTTACGAACTTTCGATAGTAGTTGGCTAACCCAAGGAACGACCGCAACTCAGTCAAGGTGCGGGGGTTCGGCCAATCTCTGATTGCTGCTATCTTTGCATCTTCCGGTTGGACCCCATCTCCATCAATCACATGTCCCATGTATAGAACCTGACGCTTAGCCCATTCACTCTTCTTTGGGTTTATCTTGAGTTTTTCTTCTCTCAATTTATTTAGCACAAGTCGAAGGTGCTCAGCATGCTCTTTTTCATATTTGCGGAAAATCAAAATATCGTCTAAATAAATCACAACAAATTTATCGAGCCATTCACGAAAGAGTTCGTTCATCGTTCTTTGGAAAGTGGCAGGGACATTTGTGAGACCAAAGGGCAAAACTACGAACTCATAATGCCCATACCTTGTCCTGAAGGCAGTCCTATGTTGGTCTTCCGGCTCAACTTCAATCTGATGGTAGCCAGATTTTAGATCAATCTTTGAGAACACTTTGCTTCCCTGCACGCGATCCAGCAAATCGTCTATTCGCGGCAATGGTTCGACATTTTTCACGGTTATATCGTTTAACCTCCTATAATCTATACACATGTGAACGTCGCCGTCCTTTTTAGGCACAAAGAGCACAGGCGCACCATAGGGTGAGAAGCTAGGTCTTATCCAACCATTTTTCAACAACTCATCGAGTTGGGTTCGTAGTTCATCCAATTCCTTGGGCGACATACGATAGATAGGCCCCTTCGGGGGCGCGCTCCCTGGAATGATATCAATGCGGTGGCGGATTGGTCTTTCCACTACACGGGTTGGGGCTTCAGCCACATCTGCGAACTCTTTCAGGATCCTCTCAATCTCTTGGAACCTAACTTCTTCCTTTGTTTCTCCTTCCTTTACTGGGTGCACATATGCAACAAAGACTTGATCATACAAGTTATGTTTCTTAACATGGCGAGCGAACGCTGGGGCACTTATACAACAGTGAGTTAGGCTGTTTTCTTTTCCTGATTCATGGTAGAGGCGAATCTTTTTCTTACCTCCTTGCGGACTTGGAAGCCAACATTCATGTTCCCTTAACTTTAGGTCCGCATGTGCAGCCTCACCCCAATCCATTCCTAACAACACATCAAAGGGCAAGTTATCCTCCACCAAGAAGGTCAGAGAGTGGAGAACGCGTTCCACCTTCCCCTCTACCTCTAGCCGAAAGTATACTTGTACTCCCTCGACGTATCAATCCATGACAGTTTCACTACTATTCGCCAACTTACTTACAATGGGCTCGCCTAACTTCTTAACCTTAAGCCCAAGGCACAGTTTCTGCAAATCTCTTTTATTAATATAACTGCGTGTAGACCCGCTGTCTATCATACCTCCTACTCTTGTTCGGTTTATTTCAAGATCTGCAATTATTAGCTGTCCTTTTTTTTTACGCATTTCAGTCCACGCTTGGCGACGAGCGGCGAACTCATTACCCACGCCAGCGAGGGATCCATCTAGAGAGGTGCATACGTTTGCCACCTATGGACAGTGTACTAGATGGGGACTTCCTTCCTCTTCAGTTTCTTCCAGTGGAGCCTTCGAATGAGAGGATTCTGGTTTTTCAACATTCGAAGCTCCGGTAGAGGCAAATGGCACCTCTACTGGTTGTTCCCTTTTGCCCCCCTATAGTCAGGGCAATAGGGGACAATGTGGTCGGGGTCCCCACATTTGAGGCATTGGTCGRCTTTCTTTCTTTCAGCCCATACCTTTTCTGTTATTCCCAACTCTTTCCAAGGCTCCCCTTCGGGTAGGCCTGGATGTGGTGGGTATGGCTTATCCCACTTGTTGTACCATGAGCCTCTTCCTCTACCCCAGGTGGAGTAAGAACCACGGCCACCGTATGAGGGACCATTTCCCCTTCCTCCCACGTAGTGGCTTCCTTCACCACCACCCCTCTGGGTGCCGAATCCTCGTCCACCATGGCCGCGATCTCTTCCTCGGCCACACCCTCTTCCTTGACGCCCTCCCCCGCGGGCTGCAACAGCCGCGTAACTCCTCTCCCGAGCTCCCAGAAGATGGACTCGGCACCTCCTTCTTCAAAGGTTAGAAGAAGACTGTCTTTCCCAGGTATAGACCCTGAGATAGTGCGGTCTTGGCATTTTTTTTCCGCTTGCAGATCCTTCCAATAATGGCAATAGTTTGCTTCCGCGAGGAAGCCGGCATGATCTATGGCGATCTTGCCGAACTTCTCATATGTCATCCCCTCTTCCTTGGTACGGGGATAGAGTTGTGTTCTTAGGGGATCCAGGATCGCTCGTGCAAAACTGTTCAGAATTTGGGCTAGCGTCAACCCGTGATCAGGGCATTGCAATAGTTCATCCATAGTTGCCTTTAGTGCAGAGGTACTCTTCCATTTCCTGTCAGGAAGGCTGAGGATCAGCATTTTGGTACGTCTTGCCAAGTTTTTGTCCTATTAACGTAAGAAAATCTTTCTCTTATTAACTTAAGAAAATCTTCGATTCGCGTTTGCTGCGAATACTCTACCATAGAGATGCATCCCGCTTCCTTCTGCAGCGAGATGACGAAGCTCATGGCGTCGCCTCCCATGCACGAAGTTGCCATCAACACCCTGTCCCAGTATGGGATACGCTGTCCGTACACATAGGTTTCAATTGCTGCCGCCCAGTGCAACACACTCTCTTCTTTCTTTCCATTGTAGGTCCATGGCAGTTTAAGTTTTATCTTGTTAACTTGCCCGGTTTCCAGACGAAGTTTTTCTTTTGGATCCCCAATCTTCCTCTTTCCTTTCTTATCCTCATCGTCCTCGCCATCCCCATCTCCGCCGTCGCCTCCAGCTCCCTTTACAATCTTCTCTACGACTTCCGGGGTGAAGACTTTATTAATATGTTCGTCCAAAGCCTGGATGTAAGTTTGCACATGTTGGTCAACATCCTTGGCTGACTTTTCCACAAAGTTATTCCAAACATTTTCGAATTCAACGCGATGTGCTTCAACCCTTTGTAGCGTCTGATGCATTAACTTCATATCTTGCCTTGTGTTGAGGACTGTCTCCCTGAGGAGAGCAAGCTGGGCTTCGGTTTCAGAGGGACTTTTCCTTTTGCGCTTCTAGAGCTTTCTGCAATTTATCCCCCTCCGCATGCAACTTCTTTTTCTCTTCTACTTCTTGCCGCCTAGCGGCCAACAGCCTGCGATTTAGTTCAGACCTTTTCTCTTCCAGCATCAGATTTCATTCAACAGCATCTGTAACAGTGGCCAACTTGGCGATGAACGTACCTCGTTCTTCATCAGTTTCCTTTAATGGTTCGCTGGAGTAGTAGTACCAGCTGCCCCAGTCCAGCGGTTCAACGGGAAGGCGGGTCAATGTGCTGCTTTCCGGAATGTCTTGGCGACGATGTCTTTCCAAAACTTCTCCTTCTTCCTGTTCTTCTTCTTCTTCTTCTATACTCTTCAACTCTTCTTCCAACTCTCTTTCCATCTTCTCTTTCATCTTCCTCTTGACTTCTTCTTCTTTCTGTTTTTTCTTGGCTTCT